CGGTCAAGGGCACATGCCCAGGTTGCGGGCTCAATCCCCAGTAGGGGTCGTGCAAGAGGCAGCTGATCAATGATTCTCTCATCATTGATGCTTCTCTCTCTCTCCCCCTTTTCTTCCTCTCTGAAATCAATAAAAATATATTTAAAAAATAAAATAAAACCATTAAATGCTCATTAGTAATACTAATTTTAACACAAGGTAATATATCGTTTTACATAGGTAGGTAAAGAACTACAGATATTTCATAACTAAGGATAGGTGAATATTAAGGAAGTATTTACATTTTGGGGGCCTAAATGGTAGTAAATGGATCATTACCCAAAAGAATACTCAGCGCAAAATAAATGCATATTAAAAGACATGTGTAAGTTCCATGCAGCTTCTGGCCCAATTCCACATACAATCTCCAAAAAGAGCTATTATTGGAAATAGTTACCTCTGCAATGAAGATGTATAAAAGGAGAGATTTGGCTTTAGAATGTGATTATTTTCATTAGTCTTTCAAGGCAATGGTATGTAACATATGGTAAATTATTTCAAATAAAAGTATTTTTGTGAGGACTTAGCTTACAATCAACTGGGAAGCTATCACATTCCTAACTTTGTACCAAGAGGTGATCAGGCTAGCCAAACAAAGTAAACTTTATGTATTTTTTTTGAAAGTTTTTATTTGAATACAACAAAATTAAAGTCATTTATATACATTAATTGTGCATGCTAAGAATTAAATTACTTGATAATTACACATAAAAAATTGTATACAATAATAATTATTCCAACATCATTTTCTAGGTGAAAGCAAAATATAATAAAATGATGCAATCCCCACTGTTTTCAAATAAGGCAAAATAATTTTCAAGTTTTTTCTTCGAACTTTGATAGCTTTCTATTTTTAACTTGCAATAACGTTGCAGTTTTCCCAGGTGTTGCATAGTATTTAATATCATCAGCATTCAACACTGTATCATATTAAGAGAAAACTGCTCTGGGTCGTATGCTATAATACAGTAATTTGCAATTCCCTTAGTCTTAAATTCTTTAAGTAATGCCAACGTATAAACTCAAAATATTAAAAGCCCTTTCAACAAAACCTAAGGAAAGACTTGCCCAATGACCTGATCAACCTGCAAGTGTGACAGAAGTTCAACTACCCTGTAAAAAAACCTTATTTTGAAATTCACTGATGTATGAGACCCTTAAAAATCCAAATAGCAAGATTAAAGGGATTTCAATAAAAGTATTTTCTCTTCCATGCTTTTTTTAAAAATACCACTGCATTCTAATGAGTAATATAACAAGTATATGTGGTAAATGTGGTAAGGTCAGAGAAGTGTCTCTTGCCCTTAAAGTTCCTGAAAATACAAGGATGTATTGACATAAACTAAGCATCATTTTGTTACAAGATTCCAGAGCAGGAGGAATAGGGAAACTGAGACAGGAAAGTTAAAACAAGGCCAAACAGTGTGGGCAATTTGCAGCCAGCTTGTAACAAGCCATTATCTTCCCCAACCAAGGACACTTGAGAGCAAATGGTTAAAAACCTCCCTAAGGAGAGAAATGCAAAAAGCAAGAGGAGAGGGGGGGGGGGGGGGGGAGGTAGGGGAAAGGAAAAAGGGAAGTTTTACTCCCTAAGCAGAGATGACAGCAGTCTCAAGGCTTAGCAAGATAAAGTTGCCAGGTGCTTCTCATGAATTCTGGGAAGGCCACAATAAAGTAAAAAGGGACCTTGAGAATTAATATGTACCAAGAAATTCATCAGAGGAATTTTGAGACCTATAGACAGGAGGGTATACTAGGTGTACCAGTTAATAATGCAATTTTTTTTCAATAGATGGAGTTACACATATGTTGATATATATGCAATTTGATATGTATGCTATTTTGTTGTATTGACAGCAAGCTTCAAAACTTCATATGTCAAATTTGCTGAAGGTGTTAACACCATAGATATTTTTACGCTTAAAAATGTCGAATTTCGTTCCAAAAAAAAAAGAGCATTAGCGGGAAATTTTAATTCATTACTTTATTTTGAAGAAAAAGTTATCGTATACTTCGGGAAGCTTATGGTGAACATGCTCCATCTCAAGATACTGTGAACGCTGGTTTAAACGCTTTAAAAATGATGATTTCGATGTGAAAGACAAAGAACATCCAGGTCAACCGAAAAAGTTTGAAGACCAA